CGGTGAAAGAGACAACCTAGTGGAAAGTAAACAAATGAATGTCCTCCTCTCTGTCTTCTGATCTGATCAGAGCACAAGTACGAGTCCTGATGATGGTGAGAAGAAGAAGAACAACGCTTCAGCTTACAGGAACTTCCTCAACAGAGATGGACCGCGAGCTCTGGGCTCCAAGGAAATCCCACAGGTAACAGACATCAGGCTTCAGAGAAAGTCCTTTAGCTGACAACCATCTTGACTTGTTCTTAATTACTGACTCTGTGTGTGTGTGTGTTTTCCAGGGTGCAGAGAACTGTTTGGAGGGCTGTGTGTTTGTGGTGACGGGGGTCCTGGAGTCCATGGAGAGGGATGATGTCAAATCCCTCATCGAGCGCTACGGGGGCAAAGTTACGGGCAACATCAGCAAGAAGACCACCTACCTGGTGCAGGGCAGAGACAGCGGAGTCTCGAAACTGGAGAAGGTGACCGATCATTGACAGTCGATCCGTGGGCTCTTATGAACATTTTAGATAGTAGTCACGCTATTTTAAGACTGTCTGTATTTCACTTCCTGTATTATTGGCCTGCATCTACCCGTCAAATACAGCGTGTTTGTATAATTGACACTCAGGCGGAGAGTTTGGGTACCAAGATCCTGGATGAGGATGGTCTGTTGGAGCTGATCAGAACCAAACCAGGAAAGAAGTCCAAGTACGAGATCGCTGCAGAGGCAGAGGTCGGCACATTTTTTTTATTATGCTGTTAACAAAGTCATTTAATGAGCGGTGGTATAATTCTGATTCAGGAGATGTCCGAACCTTTTTTTAAAGTCCCAGTTAAATCCCAAACAATATTAGAACAATATATTTTTATTATTGAAATGAAGAAGAAAAAAAGTATTTGGGGGTACATGAGGAATACTGAAACATGAGACATGTGTTTGTTGTAGATAAGAAATCGACCTTTATATTGTGGTTCAAAGTGTTAATGCAGTTCAGAATGAAATACTTTGATTGGCTACATGCAAAGACATTTCCACATTTAATGAAAGTAAAATCTCTCTCTTGGACTTTTCTATTGCTGATATAAGGATGTATTTTATTTCGATGTCCTCTCACTATTCTGGGATATTTTTCTCTCGCTCTAGAACAAAGCCTCAAAGACGAGGACTCCCCCCAGCCAGACCTCAAAGAGCACCCCTAAAGCCCAGAAGATCTCTCCCTCCAAGGGTAATTCCAGGTCCCCTCACACCCCGAGCCCGTCAAAGACCGGCCTGGCACAAGGCCACGGTGCCAGGATCAGAGAGCGCGGCACTCCTCCTGGGAGAGGCTCAGGTCACACAGCCCGGAGGGAGCTGGGCCTTTCTTCATCGTCAGCCCCCGGACCTTCATCCCCATCACCGACCGGGGACGGCGCCAGTCTGCTGTGGGTGGACAAGTACCGGCCGATCTCTCTGAAGACTGTGATTGGCCAGCAGGGAGACCAGAGCTGTGCCAATAAGCTGCTACGCTGGCTGCAGAACTGGCACAAACACCACAGCGGAGGCGCTCCCAAGCCGCCAGGTAGCAGACGGTTTACCTCCGTTTGTGTTTTGTGCGTGAGCAGAATCCAGAGTGATGATAAAACCAGATTTTGATTCAGTGAATTTTAGCTCTGAAAAATGAAAACGTGTTCGATGTGCTTTGTGTCGTGCAGCAGCAAGGTTCGGTAAGTTTGGAGGGAAAGATGATGGATCAGGATTCAAAGCTGCTCTGCTCTCTGGACCTCCGGGGGTCGGGAAGACCACCACAGCCGCCCTGGTCTGTGAGGTCAGTCTGAAAACACACACAGGCATGATTATGGGTGATTCTCACCAGTCTGTCTATTATTTTAAACTATTTCTGCACCCAAGACTCAGACATGACCCAGTTGGGACAAATAAAGTCTTAAACTTGAACATTTTGCTTGGATCTGTCTTTGACTCAGTCTCTCTTCACTGTGTTTGTGTGTCGTCCTGCAGGAGTTGAGCTTCAGCTATGTGGAGATGAATGCCAGCTGTACCCGGAGCAAAAAGAGCCTGAAGGAAGTCGTTGCAGAGTCACTGAACAACACCAGCATCGAGAACTTCTACAAAGGTTTTATTTTCTGTTACAGCTTTTTATTGATACACAGGAACATAAAAATGACGTAAAAGCTGTAGATTGTGTTAAAAAACAAAACAACTTTCAAGCATTGTCCAGGAGCAGCCAAACACGTCCATACCACTGCAAACTATACTGGAAACAAACATTTGCTCTTGAAAATGTTAATTCTTAATCACTGTATTATCTTGTTAATTTAACAGATTTAAACACTGTTTACATTTTCCTTTTTACTGAGCCAACCAGAGACTAACTCACTCACAGTATTCCTTTTAATTGTGAAGCAGCTACAGAAACGCTGTTTGCACCTTGTCCCTATGAAGCAGTGAACTTTATGAATGAAAAGTGAATACTATGTCGTATATTCAACCGTTGGTGTGTGTTTTGTAGGCACTTCTCAGACAGTGAGCAGTAAACACGTCCTGATCATGGATGAGGTCGATGGCATGGCTGGAAACGAGGACCGCGGAGGAATCCAGGTAAAAAAAACAAACACACACATTCCTGCGATATTCTACTTCCATGTGGACTGAAAATGACAGAAGGTGGACGGATACATTGCGTTTTGTTGATGCTGACCTCTGACCTTTTGCCTCCTGTAGGAGATGATCGGCCTGATCAAGAGTTCGAAGATTCCCATCATCTTCATGTGCAACGACCGTAACCACCAGAAGATCAGGTCACTGGCCAACTACTGCTTCGATCTGCGCTTCCAGAGGCCGCGAGTGGAACAGATCAAGGTACACACACACACACACACACACACACACTGTAAATGTACGCATTTGAATTATGGCTGTATTGTCCTGATTGGAGACAATTGAGACTTTAATATATAATGATTCATAATAATGGCCCATTTTAATTGCTTGTCACCCACTTTTTCCTTTTCATTTTTCAGGGAGCTATGATGTCCATCGCTTTCAAGGAGGGAATCAAGATACCACCCCCGGCTCTTAACGAAATGATCCTAGCCGCCAATCAGGATGTCCGACAGGTAAAGAAGTGTCCTAAAAGTCGATTCATACTGAGGTTACGTCTTTACTCGCCACCCTTGGTCTCTCCTCTCACCACCGCTGGCTGTTTCGTCTCCAGGTGATCCACAACCTGAGCATGTGGTCGGCCAAAGACAAGGTGATGACGTACGACCAGTGCAAGTCTGACGCGGCCAGAGCCCGCCATGACATGAAAATGGGACCGTTTGACGTTTGTAGGAAGGTGTTTTCGTCAGGGGAGGAGACTGCCCACATGAGCCTCATCGACAAGTCCGACCTCTTTTTCCACGACTATTCGCTAGCGCCGCTTTTCGTCCAAGAGAACTACCTGCATGTTCGGCCTAAGGCTGCCGGGTGAGAGAGGTTTTCAGTCTCTAAGCTAGGCTAATCGTCTCCGGCGTATTTCCCAAAATGTCAAACTATTCTGTGAATGTTTATGTATTTTCTTGTCTCTCTTGTCGCAGTAGTGACCTGAAGTCCCACCTGGTGTTGCTCAGCAAGACGGCTGACTCCATCTGTGACGGAGACCTGGTGGACAGACGGATCCGCTCTGGGCAGAACTGGTCACTGCTGCCCACCCAGGTAACGCACGCACACAAACTTAAGAAAAATCTGACTTTAGTCTGGCAAACCAAGTGTCATACGATAATAATTTGATCCAGTCGACCAACCGAAGGCCTCAGATGTTCGTTCTTTTCCCTCTGTAATGTTTCTTTTCTGAAACAGACACTAAACGTGATCATCTAACTTTTCATTACACACACTCATGTCGTATCACAAGCTTACTCATGCACATAACCTAATATATTTAAATACACACATGCTCGTGTGTTAGGGCACCAGAGATTCATCGTGTGTGTGTGTGTGCGCGTGTGCTCACAGGCCATCTATGCCAGCGTGCTGCCAGGCGAGCTCATGAGAGGCTACATGGGTCAGTTTCCTACCTTTCCCAGCTGGCTCGGCAAGTACTCCTCCACCAGTAAACATTCCCGCATCGTCCAGGAGCTGGCCTCACACATGAGTTTAAAGTGAGCAGTCCTCCATCACTTCTCTTCATTTACACAAACACAAAATCACACTTGAGTATTTGAGTGTTTGTATTCGTTTGGCTCCTGCAGGACGATGAGCAGCAGACAGGCGGTGAACCTGGACTACCTGCACTACCTGCGGCAGGCGCTGCTGAGCCCGCTTCAGAGGCACGGATCGGAGGGTGCCGGCGAAGCTGTGAAGCTGCTGGACGACTACCAGCTCATCAAGGAGGACGTGGACAGCATCATGGAGATTAGCGTCTGGGGCGGACAGCCTGACCCCTACTCCAAACTGGACTCCAAGGTCGGTGGGAGGCACTATAGTTTGGATTTTGGAGACGGTGGTTGAAGGAGTCTGTGGTTAATCCAACATACAATGAATTTTGACACCTCTGCTGTCCATCTCACAGGTGAAGGCAGCATTCACACGGACCTACAACAAAGAAGTTCACATGACGCCGTACTCCCTGCATGTAGTGAAGAAAGGTCGGCGTGGTGGCGGTGGCGAGTCAGAGTTGGGAGGCGAGGATGCAGAGAACGAAGTGCAGGAGTCTGAGGACGAGGGGGAGGGCCTCAAAACCGACGCCATGATCAAAGTAAGTATTGGGATTGCGACGTACAAACCCATTTGATCCCGTGCGCACACGCAGTATTTCCTGGCTGTCTTCTTATGTCCCTGTGTTCATATGTTGTCTGTGTCTTTGTTCCTCCCTGCAGCAGAAGAAGGCCAAAGCCACCAAGGAGTCAAAGAAGGAGAAGAAGGAAGATTCTGGGAAGGGCAAGGGCAAGGGGAAAGGCAAGGGGAAGAAATGACCGATAACCAGAAGAGGAAAACTAACTGCCCCCCTCCGCCCCCTCAGACTGTAATATATGTTATATCTCTCTCTGCACTTGCAACGATCCTTTAATGAGGAAGTAGTGAAACTGGTCTTTAACTTCTGCAGGTAACTCATCCTAACACTTGACTCTAATCACACTGAGAAATGTCTTTTTTAACTTCCTGTCATGTTTACGTCAGAGCGGCTCTATACTGAACAAATGATGCATATTATCTGGTTGTTGCACCCTTTATCATGTCTATACACCTCTACTAACATTTCAACAGGAGTATAGTGCATTTCTCCCGTCATCAGTTTGTGATCCAGGTGTCGAGATTGTAAATAATGTGATGTAAAAGACTGTTACTTTTTGCTACAACTACAGTCCAGAAACTCTTCAGCTCTACGTTTAGCACTGATGTTCCTGTAAATTGCAATTTTGTATAAATTTCTTGAGGCTTAATAGAGAAATATGTCGCTCATGAGTGTCGGTGACTGATTTTATTTAAATGGGGAGAGAAAGCAGCCATGTTCTAGAAAACGGAATTTAATGGTCACTTTGATGTCAAAATATTTAGATTATATTTGAATACAGATCATATTCTCAGATAACCCGACTACTCAGAACTTTATTTTGTGAAATCCAGCCATTCAAAAAACAGTCCAAATAATACTCAGTGTGAGGATGTTCAATAAGGCCGATACTCCTCGCAGACTTCAGCAAAGCAATTCAAGACAAACTGTCACTAAACAATTAGAAGAAAGTAGCAGATAAAATTAGGACTACAACTAACAATTTTATATATTATTTTATTAATCATTTTATCTACGAAATGTAAAAAAGAGCCCATCTCAACTTTGCAGAGCCAAAGGTGACGTCTTTAAATGTCTGGTTTTGCCTTCAAACCCAAAAACCCAAAACAGATAGAGAAACAGAAAATTCTGCCACTTGAGAAGCTTTTTTCAGTAAAAGGTTTATAAAAATGAACTCAAACTATACAGCGTGAAGTAAAAGTATCACTACAGCCAAGAGAAAAAAACAGACCAGAATGATTGAGATCTTTAAATGTTAAATTTTTATTTTTAAATAGACTAATAATTAAGCAGATGACTCAGGTTGCTTGATAGTACACCTGCCAAAAGAGGCAAAATAACCCTGAATGAGTGGGTTGGATGGTTGTAATTGAGGAAAGACGATGTAAGTAATTGAATTATTGTATTAAAGACCCAAACAGCATCACAATGAAAGACAGACTGCCATTTACTGGAACAGAAATATATCTGTTTGAAACATCTTCAGCCACTCCGTTTACAATGGTGCTATTCAAAAAGCACGAGTGAAAAAAATATGACATGGTAGAATAATGAATACAACATTTCCCCTGAATATACATAGTTTTTTTATTATTGGTCTTTTGGTTGGTGAAATAACAAACATCTTTAAAATTCAGTAACTAAAACTAAAAGCTGCAAAATATATATTTAAACATATAGAAAATCTGACAAGACATCTATGTACACTTGTTTTTCTTCTTCTTCATTGATCCAGTTCGTCAGCTTGCAAGTATTCGGAACAATCTGAGATCTTCTTCACCTGTTTGACACTCAGAGTCTCGGAGCACATGGGACACATCGTCTCAGTTTCCAGCAACCTGGACACAAACAGTTCAGTGTTGATTAGAGATAAGCGAGTCACCGTTGCTGAGGGCACGGTCACACACGGGCACAATTTGCCTTCAGCGACATATTTGCACGTGTGATCTCACCCTTATACTGGAAGAGTTTGACATTTTGGGGAATCCACAGCAATAGTGAGATGAGAAGACTGGAAACGGGGACACAGTTAACCTGGCTCAGTCCAAAGGCAACAAAATCTGCCTACTAGAACCTCTAATTACGTGTTTATAGCTCGTCTGTATAATCCATATAAAAACCACAAGTTGTGGTTTCACAGGGATTAAGGTGCTGAACCTTTTCTCAGCATCAATAATATGAGTGTGTGTGTGGAACCATAAAGGCTGGCACATCGAAGGTATATTAAAGCATCGCACTCCTATAATAACGTCAAAACTCACAATGGACAGTTTTTTTAAAAAAAAGATACAAATTGATGCAGCAGAACCACTCGCCTACATTAGCCACAATGCAACACATTCACTGACAGATGGGTCAGAGATATGAATGTGTTATGCTACTAGCAGCTAATGTAGCCTCGAGCACTGCAGAGGTCTGCTAAACTCACTTTTATCAAACATCCACAGATTATTTTTCACTTGAGGCAATGTATCAGCCTTCAATCCGCTCTGTCTGGAGCCACAAGACGGTAATAACAAGGGCCGGTTGGTGAAGATCAAAAGTCTTCTCTTTAAAGAACTGTGGCTGGCAGTGTTATTACAGAGATATTTTCAGGTTATGGAAACTCGGTCCGTTGTGTTGGTTGTATGGTTTTCATATTTCGGTAAGATTTTCAAAAACTGTCACACCGATTTGTCAACAATTTGAAATAAATGTAAATCTTCCATTGGTTTAAATAACAAGCGGAAAAACTCCAGCTGATATACGTTTCTGCATACTTACAGATTGAACTGGGAGTAGAGAGCAGGAAATTCACAATGAGGACACACAGACCAGTCTTCTTTCAGCATATGACGACCCTGAAAAACAGAAACTCAACTGATAAAAATATTGGGACAAACTACTTTGTACAGTAGAAAACCAGTGTGCGTGAATCAGTCAGTGTTTGTGTGTTTGTACCGTGGCAATGCAGTAGGGCAGGTTGTTCTTGCAGGAGATACACAGCAGTTCGTTCTGAGGCAGCTGAAAGCCGCAGAAGGGACATGGAGTGGTTTCCTCCTCCAGCTCCGATGTGTCTGGACGTCTGCGGGGCAGACACATATGAAGTGAAAGGACAAGGATTGAAACGCAGTGTAGGGCAGAATAAAATCAGACAGATGAGGTGAGGTAATATACGCACAGAGAAGGAGGAAGGTCAGGAAAGAGCAGGAGGTGTGGACTCACCGAACCATAGCCTCGATCTTCTTCCTGTACTTTGGGTCAATCTCATTTCGGTACTCCGGTCTCATCAACATGGCAGCGAAGCTAAAGGCTGAGTTCTTCAGTCCGGCACGGTGACATTCGATGACTGCTGACGTCAGAATGGGAACGACATCTATACACACACGCACGCACGCACACACACGCGCACACACACACACACACACACACACACGCACACGTAAACACTGATGAGGCTTCTGTTGGATGTTTTTTCAGTGACATTTAAGCTTCATTTAGATGAGTTTTTTCATGTGAACTGGACAGTAGATTAGAGTTGATTCTGTGTGGACTCACGTGCAGGAAACTTGCTGATGTTGTTGCTGACACGGATGAGCATGCGAGCCCCTTTCAGGTGGTCTCCCCTCTTTACATGGATCTACATTATAAATAATTAACAAATTCAACATGGAAGACTACAAAGAACAATAAACTCACGTAATGTTGAGGTTGAGAAGCTTTATCATGTGACAGTGAACTGAAAATGTGCACAGTTCTTCCCACATTAAACAATACTGCACTTACTCCCTCTCTCTGACGGCCCGCTTCTCACTCACCACTGTTAAGTGGGGCAGTTTATAACAACTACTAATACTTTTTATTTCTGGACGTGTTGTAAAAAGAAGTTCTGATCAAGCATAACCCGACACTTAATGCGCTGACCATAAACCCCAGCATCCCTGGTCCTTCCCTCATTTCCTGTCAGCTATCTAATAAAGGCATAAAAAGTCCCCCAGAGAAATTATTAATTATACAAAGTGATTCCGCACAGTAACCTGAACAAACACTGTGTGTGTGTTACAGATTTCAGCTTTACTGACTTTGACCAGTAGGTAGGAGTGGAGGATCATCAGATTGGTGGCCATCTCAGCAGGAATTTTAATCTTCTGGGCCTGCAGCTCCGTGTACATGCTGAACAGCACGTCATGGGCATTGCGATAGTTCCCTGTGTAACATGCAAAAAAACAAAAGTATATAGAAAAACATAGAAGCTTTGGTACACAGCTATTTGTGAATATGTCTGTACCTGCACACTGCTCTTCTCTGGCGATGATGATGGCGGTGCGAGCAGCTTCCCTGTACTGCTGCAGCGCCATATACAGGCGGAACAGGTACTTGGCATCCTGGGAAGAGGAAAAAAAACATCAACTAACCATCAATCAACAGTGTCAGTCAGGATCAGATTTACATACATAGATTCACAGGGTGAGATAGTGCTCGCATTCAGTTTGTAATATGCGTCTCACTGAAGGTCACAGCTGACTGTGGTTGTATTCTGCACAGGGAGAGTGCAAACCGTCTGAAACTAGCAAACTTTAAGGAAATCCAACGTAGTGATGCTGGAATAAATTAAAATAACCTTCTAAAACATTCTCTACAATTTTAAATGTAATTGGACAACTATTATTCTTACAAGATTTATTTACAGAAATGTTTGCAAAGCTAATGCTAAGAGACATTAAACAAACTTCCAAAAAAATATTTAAAAAGGTGACAAAATGATGCCCACCTTCCCTTAATATTGGCCACTTATATATATTATATATTATATATATATATTCCACTAAAACTGACACTCACAAACTGCATGAACCTCAGAAAATCCAGCAGATGCACAATCAACCACATCCACTGAATCTGATCGGATTTCTTTGGGCTGCTATTCCTGAAAACTTTCTTTCAAGTCTTTTTCACTGAAACATTAAATATTAATGACTAAATCAATAAAGTTTTAACACTCAAAAGCTTCTTCTTTAGGACTGTGTGGTGATCTGATCACGTTTGACTGGCAACATTATGTAACAACCCCACAATTAGTTCTTAATCCAAATGTTGATAAATCCTGATTGGTGCATGAAAATACATGACATCACATTTTTCCAAACAGCACAGACAAAAATGTGTCCTGGGAAATCACCGAATCTGTTCTGAATAATACAGTGATTTCCTGTCGGAGCCCCATTGCTCACATTAAGGAGCTGATTGAGTAAATTGGTTTTCAGGGCCTTTTCACACATATTTAGAAAAGCGTATTTCACTGATTACATCCAAATAATAACCAATCTGTGCTTCCAGGACGGTTTCATTAGATCTCTAGGCACGCAATGTATTAGAAACAGTTATGAAACGGTGAAAAACGACTAAATCTCACTCTCTCTCTCTGCACTTCAGTTGTCTAACAAATACAACTGACTCTTCCTTCATCTCACCCTCAGTGAAGAGCAAGCTGGAGGAAAAGGGACACTCATACCCTACTGCCCTACAACAACAGCACTGAACACGTTCTACATCACATACTCACAAGGATGTACATTACCTACTGTATGACACACATACACTCTAGTTCCCACACGGACACTAACAGCCCACCTGACTTCTATACGATTAACTAAAATAACGAACTCCTACTAGCTCTCTGACTACAGAC